TTACGAACTTCAAATACCAAATTTGAAACGATTCCGGTGAAAAATGTCGCTAAAATCGTCAAAATACCGAATATCGGGAAGTACAGTTATATGGGGGCTATACGAAGACGTGGACCTGCACACACAATTTTCCGTCATAGACTGTAGTATCCACTACGAATTTTAAATACCAAATTTGAAAGAATTCCGGTGAATAATGTCGCTAAAATCATCCAAATACCGAATATCGGGGGATACCGTTATATGAGGGCTATACGAAGACGTGGACCTGTACCGACAATTTTCTGTCGTAGGCTTTAGTATACACTACGAACCTCAAATACCAAATTTGAAAGAATTCCGGTGAATAATGTCGCTAAAATCATCAAAATACCGAATATCGGGAGGTACCGTTATATGGGGGCTATACGAAGACGTGGACCTGCACAGACAATTTTCTATCTTAGGCTGTAGTATCCATTACGAACTTTAAATACCAAATTTGAAACAATTCCGGTGAATAAAGTCGCTAAAATCAACAAAGTACCGAATATCGGGGGTACCGTTATATGGGGGCTATACCAAAACATGGACCTACATGGTCCATTTTCAAAACTAAAAGTCCTGAAGACATTATATACATTTGAGAAAAATTGTATTAATCTACTTCAATTCGTTCGGAAGCTAGAGTGATTTACACAGAGGGACGGACATCGCTAAATCGACATAGAATTTTATGCTGTTCAAGAATACATATACTTAGTGGGGTTTAAAATGTATATATCGAGGTGTTACAAACGGAATGACAAACTTAATATTATCTCCATACTATGGTGGAGGGTATAAAAATTTACCTTAAACCAAAACAAAAAATTGGGCATTTTGAAATATCTCCACTAGTTGCAATCTTTGCTCCAACCTCCGAAAATCTACACAAGTTTTTTTTCCATTTTCATACTAAACCGGTTAAAATTAAACGCTCAATATTAAACTCAACAACGTGTGTAATTTGCCTCAATTATATATTTTATTTATCAGTCTTGGGCGCCATTTCTTTATCCGGATACGCAAAATCTCTCGGCGTGTTATATTTTTAGATTATTTGTGTATTTTCACACGAATTTATGGCAAATCTCATTAAAGATGTTCAAACAAACCTTCTGAAGACACTAACACCTACACACATACGTACGCATATTCAACAAAAACACATCAACATTTTGCCTTAACCCATTGTCTAAGTCAACACGTTTTGCCAATATTTCTCGAACAATGGGTTGACATTTAATATTTGAAAATAAATTTAAATTTATTTAATTTAGATTCGAATACAGCTTTCAATTGAAAGACACTTGAAATAATAATATTTGGCAAAGGAAACTACGTCGACATTGAAGTTAAATAGAATTTTTAGGGGTAGGTTTAAGACTTTTGGGAAACCCTACAGGTAATGGGTTTAAAAAGTCAAAGAAAAATACATTTCTCAGATGCTTGAACATAAACCCCACGGAAATAAGGCCAATGAGATTTCTTCTATTTCTACATGGCCGATGAATGGCTTTCTTTCCTAGAAGTTTGGTGGGAGGTCTTACACCCACAGAATACTGTTGATAGGACTTCTACCTCTACAATGCCGGAGAAAGGCCTTCTACCTCTAGAAAACCGGTTAAAGGTCTTCTATGTTTAGATGGCCGGTGAGACAACTTATATCTTTAGAAGGCTAACGAGAGGCTTTCTATCTCTAAAAAGCTGGGAAAAGGCCCTCTAGCTCAGGAGGCCGGTATTCCTTCTACCTCTACAAGGTTAGTGAGAGGCCCTCTGTCTCTAGAAGGCCGGTGAGAGGCTTTATATCTCTAGAAGGTCGGTGAGATGCCTTCTATCTCCAGGGGGCCGGTGAGAGGCCTTCTATGTATAAAAGGTCGGTGACAGGCATTCTATCTATAGAAAGTCAGTGAGAGGCATTTTATCTATTAGAAGGCCGGTGAGAGGGGCTCTATCCCTAGGATGCCGGTGGGAGGTCCTCTATCTCTAGAAGGTTGGTGAGAGACCCTTTATCTCTAGTAGGCCGGTGAGTGGTCTTATATCACTAGAAGGCTGGTATGATGCATTCTATATCAAGGGGGCCGGTGAGAGGCCTTCTATGTATAGAAGGTCGGTGACAGGCATTTTCTCTATAGAAAATCCGTAAGAGGCCTTCTGTCTCTAGAAGGCTGGGGAAAGGTACTTTATCTCTTGATGGCCGGTAAGAGGTCTTCTATCTCTAGAAGGCTGGGGAAAGGTTTTCTGCCTATAGAAGGCCGGTGAAAAGCCTTCTATCAATAGAAGGCCGGTGAGAAGCATTCTACCTATAGAAAGTCGGCGAGAGGCATTGTATCTATAAACGACCCATGAGAGGTATTATACCTGCAAAAGGCTGGTGAGGGGACTTCTATCTCCAAAAGGCTGTTTAAAGGCTTTCTTTCTCTAGAAGGCCGGCGAGAGACCTTCTATCTCCAGAAGGCTGGTGAGAGGCCTTGTATCTATAGAAGACCTATGAAAGGTCCTCTACCTCTTAAGGACCTGAATGATATCATAGATATCAATAATTTCTAACCAACTCAGATTATGGAATGGATGATAAAGAAAGTTCCTCCCGACATTGTTCAAAATCTTAACCCTTCCATAGATTTCGTGAAATACATACACCTCTAAAGCCCTCTATAGGCAGAGTTCCTTCTGGAGACTTTTTGTCAAAGGAAGGTCTTCACAGAATATGTTTTATATAAACTCTGCTACGGGTCTGCTACATATGGGAGCTCTTCCATTGATGTTTTCATATAGACCTTCTATGGGAAGAAGCCTTTTAATGGTATAAGTACTTTCTCAGGTCTTCAATATAAATAAGTTATTTTAAATGATTCTTATATATAGAAACCCATCCTTTTCAAATGATAGAGACTGATAGAGGTTCTTCCACACGAAATAGATTGATTGAGGTACTTCCACAGAACTTCTATTGAGAGAACCCCTCTCACAAACCTTCACACAGGCCTGTCCTTTTGCTGAGGGAGGCAGGCTTTCTTTTGTTAGATGCCCCTTCACAAGTCTCCTATGGATTGAAACACTTCCATAGTCCCTCCCTTGATAGCGGCCTTTCAACATGACTTCCAATGATCGAGGCCTTTTCATAGGGCTTCTGTGTGTAGAAGCTCTCCCAGACATTGTATGCATAGGAGCCCTTCCATAGGTTTCCTATACACAAAAATCATTGTTTCTACAGGCTTTCTAATGATGCAAGTCCGTCAACTGGCTTATACAAATATATGCTCTTGCACAGGTCTTCTATAGAATGATTGCAATTCACATGAACTTCATAGATATATGGTCTTTCACAGATCTGTAGATAGTAGTATTTCCTATGACAAAAGCCCTTGCACACGGTTTATATGCTGAGATCGGATCTACCCGTCTTTGATCACTGGTGAAATTCGACTTCTCGCAGCACAAAAGTTTTACAAGGAGTGTACTCTTCGCTCATATATTTTATGTGTAAGCTCATGGGAGTCACTCCTGTTTGAAATATGAGAGTGGGAGTCAAAATCGAAGTAGAGTAAGAATTTGCTCTAAGAGTGAAATTGAAAAAGACAAAAACCAAAAAATACTCGTCACGAATAAAATTTGCTCAATTTCGAACGAATTTTACTTCCACTCGAAAACGAGCAAAACATGCTCGCTCTTATTCGAGAGGAATCGAAAAGTAGTAGAGAGAGGCTTCAATGTTTTATACTCTTAAGAGTGCTATCACTTGAATTCGCTCTTTACTCAATTTCGAGCTAGCATTTCCGAGAAGTGATTCGATGTGTATAAGCTCTGCCATAGATTTTCTGTACGTCGAAGATACTCGAAAACTAGCAAAACATGCTCGCTCTTATTCGGGGGGAATCGAAGAATAGAGTAGGTTTGATTTTTTCTACTCTAAGGAGTACTGCTGCTTGAATTCTCTCTATACTCAACTTCGAGCTAACATATCCGAGCAGTGATTCTCTGTGTATAAGCTCTGCCGTGGATTTTCTTGCCTTGCCAAAGGACTTTTACATGTAGAACCTTTACATGTAGAACCTTTGAAAGAGAAGACCTTTTAGGAGCTTAGTATAAGCTCTTTAAAAAACCTTCTATATGTATGAACCCTTTTAAAGGACACCGGCTGCTTATTTATTGGAAGTATCGGAACAATGACCTAACATTTACATGACGGAGGTTGAAGTACTTAATTGGCTATTGGAAATATTTTCACCACACTAACTACTGGAACCTTCACTGGTCATTAGCGCATTGATATTGCCGCTACTCAAAAAGAAAAGACTGACATGGCCGATTTTCAACGCGCCAATGGACCATTTGAACTACCGGCACTACGACTAGTCCCAAAGTCGACGTATCTGGTGGCGAAACTGTTCATTTGACTTTAGGAACCACCGGTACTGCATGAAATACTGGATGTTCAATTTGCCTTTGGTTCTGGACCTGCCTCCACTACTAGTAAATTACTGGTATGATGGGCCAAATCCTTTAACACGTCCTCTATATGTAGGAGCTTTCTAGAGGAGCTTCTTCAGACCTTCTGTAGTTTGAACCTGTTTCTTTTCTCTTGTCTCTATAGCTCTAGAAAAAAGACAGATTGGGTCAAAGGTATTTAAATTTTAATGAAGTATTCGTATTCCTTGAAATCTTATTTCCCGAACGTTTCAATTCTCTGTTCCATCGATATTGCTTGGTAGGGCATTCCATTGTTCCGCTATGCCGCCTCTAACCTCCACCCTCTTTTATAGAAAACACAATGGCTCAATGAAACCATTTCTTATTTATTCCGCTAACCAAAAAAACCTATTTGTTTTTCAAAACTGGTATAAATATAAGAAAACACCGACCCTGCTTCAGATAGATATCGGATTTCGATATTTTTGCGAAAATTCTGTCCGTCTAGTATTCGAAGTTTGACGGAGGTATCGGTTAAGTGTGTGTAGGAAAAACAATCGAAAACAATGAAATTATTTGTGGGTGCCACCCTGGCCATTATGCTAGGCATAATGGGTCAGGTTACAAGGGCACAAAATTTAGCAAATGGTGCAATACCCTCAAATCTCATGGCAAATTTGGTCAATGGAGCAGGGGGAGCAACGAAATGGAGTTTTAGTACGAATTCCGGTCCGGCTTCATCTGGGATTAGTTCTTCGGCTGATGCTGCTGCTAGTCTTGGCTCGGCATTGCCTGCCAATTTGATGGGGGATTTAAGTAAAATTATGGCCCAGGCAGGGAATGCGGGCAATGGAAAATTCAGTTTTACAACCACCTCGGGTTCGTCATCCGGAAACCAGGATGGTGTTGCCGCCACTGCTGCTGTATTGCCTGGCAATCTGGTTGGAGATTTGAGTCAAATGTTTGGACAAAATGTGGATCTAAATAAAATCATAAGTCAAAGTGGAAGCGGAAGCGGAGGTAGCGGCAAATGGAGTTTCAGTGTCAATGGAAGTCCCACAACTATGACTAGCTCCTCCACTTCCTCCTCGGGAGGTCAAATTCTGAACTCTGGAGCGGCCAATCTCGTGGGAGATTTAAGTCAAATGTTCGGCCAAGCTGGAAGCGGAGGTAATGTTAAGTGGAGTGTTAATGGCAGTCCCACCACTATGACGAGCACTTCCTCTTCCTCCTCTGCTGGTGTCCAAGGTCAAGGTTCCGGTGTTGGCATGGCAATTCCTGGCCAACTCATGGGAGATTTAAGTCAAATGTTTGGTAAGGGCGGATCTGGTGGCTCCACCAAGTGGAGTGTTAATGTCAATGGCGGTCCTAGTATGACCTCCGGAATACAAACCCATGATTTGGCTTCCCATTTGGCTGGTGGCATCTCTGGAGGCATCAACGTCGGTGGTCATCCAATTACCGGCTCGACTACAGTGTCGTCTGGCACAGGTGGTAAAATTGGCACCGCTGGCCGTTGGAAGGTTAGTGTTAACAATGGTCCCGCCAGCGTCTCCAAGGTTCCCATCAATAATGCCATACATGGCAATTTGGTGGGACAGGGTTTCACACCTCAGGTGACCACTTCAACAACTACAACAACAACCGGAAATATGGGTTCTCTGCAAAATAATTTGGCCAGTATGTTTGGTCAAATTAGCGCTGGAGGAGGTTCCGGAGGTTCTATACAAAATGATTTGGCCAGTATGTTCGGACAGGTGGGAGCTGGAGCAGGTTCCGGTGGTTCCGTACAAAATGATTTGGCCAGTATGTTTGGACAAATGGGAGCTGCAGGAGGTTCTAGTGGGAAATTAACTGTCAGTGTCAACCCCTCAATAACCACTAGCATCACCACATCAACTTCGGGTTCGAGTTCCAGTTCTTCCACCACCCCCGTTGGAGGTCTCCAGGGCAACTTAATTGTCGGTAGCACAGGAACTAGTGGTACCACAACAGGTGGTTCCAAAGGTAAATGGAGTGTAACCATTAATACGGGACCAGCAAGTGGTATTTTGGGAGCGGTTCAAGGCATTGCCACGGGATCGTCCACTCTGAGTGGAGGTTCAAGTGGTCAGGTGAATATTGGTTCCACAACGTCTGGGGGTTCCACTACTGGCCATTTGAATATTAATATGGGAAGCACCGGATCTGCTGGTCAAACTTCAAGTGATGCGAATGGCCAATGGACCATTGAAACCAGCGGAACTACCAATGATGGAGATCTAAGTGGCCATTTGACCATTGGAACTAGTGGCACTACCACCAGTCAGTCCAATAATGGAGGTCTAAGTGGTCATTTGACTATTGAAAATAGCGGAACTACCACCAGCCAATCAAATGATGGAGGTTTAAGTGGCCATTTGACTATTGGAACCAGCGGTATCACACCGACTACTGGAAGCTCAACTGGTCAATGGAGTATTGAAACCACTGGTCCTACCACTACTACGAGTCAATCGACTGGTATGACCGGAGGTTCATCCGGAGAACTGACAATCGAAACAGGCAACCAGGAAGGAAATATTGATCTGGATGTAAGTCACGAGGAAACTGTGGGTCATGACATCACCGGATCTGAAAATCAAGGATCCCTGAACATAAATATTGATCATTCGGCCGGTTCCAGCGGCACCATTGAAGGCTCCATTGAAAACACCTTACCAGCTGTAGATTTCGAAACCAACAATGACTGGAATGATGTTGATTTTGGAGCTGACACGGATGATGTGCCTCCCATAAATATTGACTGGAACACCGGTACTGTAATACCGGAACCTGTGGTAACAGAACCCATAATTGTCCAACAAGAACCCGAAAGTCAAGAACCCGAGCCAGAAGCACCTCAAGATCCTGAACCCAGTGTTGAGGAACCCATGACTTTGGAGGCAGAACCCGTTGCTCAAGCACCTGAGGAACACCAACCGGAACCACAACCCACGGCAGAAGAACCCATTCCAGAGGAACCAATTGAATTTGTCACCCAAGTCATTGAACCCCAACCTGAACCCATGGTGCCACAACCACCTCAAATCATTGAGACTGCACCTCAGGACCCCACTGTGGAGGTGCCTTCATTATTTGATCCAATTTTGGTACATATCCCAGAACCCAAGACAAGTTTACCAGATGAGTTACCACCCTCTGTTAGTTTGTGGGAACAGGCATTAATTAACCAGCCAGTTGCTGAAGAACCCATGGCCGAAGAACCAGCTCAAGCTGAAGAAGAACCCGCTCCCTTTGAAGAACCTGCACCAGTGGAGGAAACTGCTCCCGCAGAAGAATCTGAAATCGTAGAAGAAACTGATCCCATGGAAGAAACTGTTCTCATGGAGGAAACTGCTCCCATGGAGGAGACTGCTCCCATGGAAGAAGCTGCTCCCATGGAGGAGACTGTCCCCGCAGAAGAAACTACCCCCGTAGAGGAAAATGCTCCCGCTGAAGAGACTGCTCCTATGGAAGAACCTATCCCTGTCGAGGAAGCTGCTCCCGCAGAAGAATCTGTTCCAGTAGAAGAAACTGCCCCAGCAGAAGAAGCTGCTCCCGTGGAAGAACCTGCCACTGTTGAAGAACCTGTCCCTGTCGAAGAACCTGTCCCTGTCGAAGAAACTGCTCCCGCAGAAGAAGTGGCTCCCATGGAAGAACCTGCTCCCCTGGAAGAATCGGCTCCAGTGGAAGAAGAGCCAGCACCAGTAGAAGAACTTGCTCCAGTAGAGGATACTCCTCCCATGGAAGAACCCGTCCCCGCAGAAGTAGAACCTGTACCCGAAGAGGTACCCCTCCCTACCCCCGAACCATCCAATTGGCTGCCGGAACCAATTGTATCCGATCCTATTCCAGAACCCGTGGAAGAAGTACCATCTGTTCCAGAACCCATAGAAATTCTACCCTTTGAACCCAGTCCCGTGGAAGATATGCCCCAGCCCATTTATGAAGAACCCACAATTATGCCACCCAGCGAAGAGCAACCAATGACCCTGGAAGAACCACAGCCTCCAACTGAAGTACCTTACGAAGCACCCATGGTTAGTCCACCTGAACCTAGCTATGAAAATCCTGAACCACCAATGGAACAACCCATCGATTATCCCGGGTCCATGGTTGAAGAATATGTGGATCCCATGTATCCCACATATCCTCAGCCTTCCTCCGACTGTGATCAAGGATATGCCGCCTATGACCTGTACTATCACAGATTGATTCGTGACATCTCCAAACTTCGTCGACTACGTCATCGTCTCCTGATCGATTTGCATACCCTTGATGATATTGAAGATGAGCCACTGCCGGAGCCATCGTATCGTCTCAACTATTACCGTTATCTGCATGGCCTGGCACCACGTCTACCATTTATGACCGAGCTACCCACAGCCGGCATGGGATTCCGTAGATATCCATTCTTTAGGCAAGTTATGCATGGTCTACCCAATCCTGGCAGGTTCCTCAGCTACCGGCCCAAATATCAAATGGCCAGGATTCCTCATGGTCTACCTCCACGCATGGGCATGCAGTATGATAGGTCCACCATGCGTTATCCCCATGGGTTACCACCACGCTCTAGGTACTCCCTGAATCTACCCTATCCAGAAATGCAAATGCACATGAGACAAGTTTCTCCTCCTAGATTCCCTCTTCCTGAGATGGAACGAAATGTTCCGCGTCCTGATTTCCAACAGAGCCTGAATACTTTGGTAAAGCTTCCCCAAATTTCTCCACCTCGTCCGGAGTTTCCAAAAGCCGTCAATCCTCTACTAAAACTACCTCAAATCTCCCCACCCCGTCCTGAGTTGCAGAAAAAGCTAAGTCCTTGGGCAAAGTTACGCCAATTTGTTGTACCTCGTCCCGAGCCTCCACTAAACGCAAATCTGCTAAATGTTCTTTCCCAAATTTCCCCTTCCAAACCCAGCTCCGAGGAGCACAGCTTCACTTCTACCCTCACTAAGCTGCCACAAATTTCTCCACCTAATGTAGAGTTTCCCAAAGATTTCTCATGGATAACACGCCCACAAATTTATCCTCCCAAACCTGAAGCCCCAGAAGGTGAGGGTGAAATATCCCCTCCCAAGGATATGGTGATGACAACTCTTCTGAAATTACCTCAAATTCAAATTTCTCCCCCACGTCCCAGTGGCATTGCAACGTTGGAACTACATCAAAATGATGCCACAGCTACAGCTTCCCCTTCCCGTTTTGAGGTTTCGGCTGACATTCCAAGACCAAAACTTCCTCTAGTTTTACCTGCACCCCTAACTCTGTCCCTTGAGGCCTCTAACGCAAATGGTGAACCCATGGAAATGTCAACTTTTGATCTACCACAAATCTCCCCACAGAAACCTGGATATGGCGGTGTAGAGGTTTCCTCAGGTCCAGTAAATGGTAATATTGCCGTCAAGTTTTTGCATAATTTTGCGAATGGTGTCCCCAAGCCTCAGACTTTTGATATCAAAGTATAAATTTTACGATTCGAAGCGAATATATAATATAACTCAATAATGTATACAATACGAAATAAATAAAAAATATTGAAAATTATGATTTTGAAAAATAAAAAAAATTGAAATATTGTGAAGATTTGAAAAAAAAAATTGTCCAAAGAACCATAGGAGGTCTTTGGTTTATAAATTACTTGCAGTGGGTTTTTGGATGATCTGTGAAATAATTGAAATTTGAATAGTTTACAGCTCGAAATAAGCTAAATACATAGAGGCAGGTTCTTCAATGGGTGCAGATTCCTCAACGGGTGCAGATTCCTGGGGTAGTTTCTTCAGAAGGAGCAGCCTTTTCTGCTAAAAAAATTTCCTCTAAGGAAGCAGTTTTCTTCGACAGGAACAGGATCTTCAATAGGAGCAGTAGCTTCCAATGGAACAGTTTCCTCCAGGGGGATATATTTAGTGGACAATTAATATATCCAAATCTGAAATAATCTATATAAAACCTGCATTTTTTGAGCCACTTTCATTGTTTTTCAAATCAATAATTTTTTTCCTAAAAGAAACCCCCAACAAAAAGGTAAAAAAATGATAATCTCTTCACGGAAGAACGACGAAACTTATTTGGCCCAAATCTTGAGCAATGTCTCTTGAAGCAAAGGTGCGGTTTTGAGTCGATTCTCTTTGTCTAATTATAATCTATATACAGGGTGAGATGAAAAAACTGCAACAAAAAGCCATAATTTTTACATTTTCCTTTTTTAAATTTTATGGAATGAAAGCAAAAATATCGGAAATAGCATCCAATTTTAGAATAAGTTTAGATTTGTTCGAATTTGTCACCTTTGGCTCGAATTATGACCTTCAAATGGCCAATGAAACCGTCACATGATGCCCGAATGTTGCTCTGCAGAATTTTGGCCCATTCCGGCAAAGCACTTGCTTGAGGTGTTCGACACTGTGGTATTTTTTAGTGCCAACCTTGCTTTCCAAAATACTCCAGACCCAATAGTACAACGTATTGGTGTCCGGAGATTTTGGTGGCCATTGTGCGCTGAGTCCTGTTGGAATGTCCAAGGTCTGCGGCCAAAATGTTTGGGTGCCCAAGGGTGTAAAGCAACCTCCAGAATATTTTCGCTATAATATTTGGCATTTATTCTGATACCGCAGTCGATTAAAACGAGTGGAGAACGATCATCGGCTGTTATGGCGGCCCACACCATTACCATGGCCGGAGCTTGAGTTCTGGTGGCCAACCGAAGGTGCACTTTTTCAGCTGACCTCTTTGGCAAGTAAATGCAACCATTTTGTTTGTTTATAAACTGCTGGACAAGGAGAATACCAAATTCGTCAGTTTACGACTTTCGGCCAAGCGAAGCAACTCTTTAGCTCTTTTGAGTCTATTTTCATTCTATTTTCTTGCCGTGTAAGTTCTTGCACTTTTTGGAATTTCAATGGCTTTACCCCGAGTCCATTTTTCAATATTTGCCGAATGGAATATTGCGATATGTTCAGCTCACGAGCCATTTTCGGTCACTGCGACGCGGGTTTCAATCAAGTCGTTTCATTACTTTTCGAACCATTTCTGCTGCTGTTGTTGTTTTCTTCCACCCAGTTCCTTGTCCCAGGTCGGGCTACGCTACCAGTATCACGGTAACGAGCAATGTTACGAGACACAAAAGATTTATTCACACTCAAGTGCTGAAGAGCTCTGACGATAGCCAATTGTGGTTTTCAAGCCAAATATAAAGAAATCACACTATCACGCTTGAATTCCTTCACGAATAACTTTTTTTTCTGGAAATTTCTCACCAAAATGCTTTTGTACGATTGTAGACAATATAATGAGCTGTCACTGGAATAATTTTAAAAAATGTCGGATGAGTGGCTTCGAAATGACAGCAGTCTGATGTTGGTTGCAGATTTTTCATCTCATTATATGTTGAACAGATAGTGGTTGAAATCTGAAATTTGGTTTTAGGTTCCCTGTTCATGTGTGGCCTGGGCATGAGGAGGTGGTTTTGGAAAAGTGTACCACAATTGTATGTAAAGTACTAAATGGCACTTAATTTGCTATTAGGTGAAGGAATAGGACTGGGATCCCCAAGTGTATTGTTTAGGCCTTGGTTGGTAACTGGAATTGAGATATGAAAGTGGTTTAAAAAATGTGTTCTATAAGTACTATATTTGTTACAATTTGGTATTGGCTAAATATTGAAATATGAAATTTGGTATTAAAATCTGAAATTTGGCATTAGGGACGCTGTTCATGTGTAGCGTGAACACATGGAGATGGTTTCGGAAATGTGTACTATAATTGTATGAAGAGTACTGAATAGTACTAAATTTGGTATTGGGTGAAGGAATAGAGCAGAGGTCCGCAAATTTGATATTGAGGTCCCTTTTATGTCTGGAATTGAGATATAGAGGCTTTTTGTAAAGGAATAAAGCTGAAATTCTGTATTTTGATATTGAGGTCTCTGTGGGTATCTGGGATTGGGTCTGGAGGTCGTATTGCATATGCCTACTATAGTTGTTCGAAAAGTGCTAAATAGTACTAAATTTGGTACAATTTGTTATTGCGCTCATGTGTAGCCTATACATATGGAGGTGGTTTTGGAATGTTGTATGCGAAGTACTAAATAGTACTAAATTTGGCATTGGCTGAAGAAATAGAGCTGAAATCCTGAAATTTAATATTTAGATTACTGATGGTAGCTGAGTTTGAGATTTGGCGGTGGTTCTGGAAATGTGTCCTATATTTGTACGACAAGTACCAAATGTTACTAAATTTGATATTGGCTGAAGGAATGGAGCTGAAATGCTGAATTGTGATATTGAGGTCACTATTGCTTTCTACGATTTATATATGGAGACGATGAACTAATTTTTGAACAGAAAAATTGGATCCTCCTCGGTAAACTCAAAAAATTAAAGAGTTTGAAGACCTTTTGGTATAAAAAGTAAATATTTATACCCTCCATTCCGTTTGTAAAATCCTTAAATATTCGTCGTAGACCCCATAAAGTATATATATTCATAATCAGCAACGATGTCCGTCTGTCTGTCTGTCTGTTGAAATCATGATACAGCCCACATTATTTCACGTAGAGCGCCAAAATTTAGCAGAACAATTTGTATTGTGTCTAGGATGGTTGGTATTGAAAATGAGATATATCGGTTCACGTTTTGGTATAGTCCCCATATAACGGTACCTCCCGATATTCGGTATTTTGTTGATTTTTGCCACATTTTTTCACGGATTTGTCTGAAAATTGGCATTTGTAGGTCATTTACATTACATGTAAAGGTTCACGACTTGGTACAGCCCCCATATAACGGTACCTCCCGATATTCGGAATTTTAATGGTTTTTGCCACATTAGTTCCAGATTTGTCTAGAAATAGGTATTTGTTGGTCTTAATGGGTTCTAGCTCTTTTGGCGGAACACTGTATGTGTAGGTCCACGATTTTGTATAGCCTCATATAGCCGTATTTTCCGATATTCGGAATTTTGATGATTTTTGGCACATTTTCCCATGAATATGTCTAAAAATTGGTATATGTGGGTGATAATGGGCTCTAATGTTTCCTTTACCCTAAGGTGGAGGATATTAAAGTTTGACCGGCCGAACTTTATGTTTGATTACTTGTTTTCTATTATTCTTTTCGAAAAAGGAAAAAAAATTGAATGTTATATGAAACCCTGAAGATCTGAAAATTTAGTACGATATATGAAGTTTTTATTTTTTTGTTTGACTGAACACTTTTATTTTTTTTTGGGTAGTAGAATAGTCTAACTGTTGCAACAAATTTTAATTCCAAAGAATGTTTAATTTTAAGGGTGATTTTCACTGTCGAAGTAACTCACACTTGCTAGTACTCTGTGGGCCACTAATTTGATTCTATTTCCCATTTTTAAGAAAATCTAGTATTGAAAGAGACCATCTTGGGAGATAATGTATACCTTCCTAAAATAATTCTGCTGAACAGGTGTTACCCTAAAACGGCTTAGACTGATTGCCCAAACTCTTTTCCAAATATAAGTTAATAGAAATTCCTTTATTTCTTCAGTACCAATATTTTTCTGCAAACTATTCAGGTCGATTGTCTTTTGTCATAATTTTTCTATAGTTCTGGTATAATGCTCGTCGATAAAAAAAAACAAACTGAAAATTAGTTTCTTTGTCATAAAAAAATTTCTTAAATACCAATCCCTAAATAGAAAAATAGGAAATTTCCACCTTCACAAATATTTGAAGAACTAAAATGCCCTCTAATTTGTAGTTATTAAATTAATGAAGCACGTGTAGAATTTTCTATTGATTTTTTTTTATTTAAATCGAAACCCTAAATTTTATTTGTCTTGTGCCAGCATTCAAAAACCCTACAGCTGTGCAATTATTTGAAAGACCTTGAAACAATTGAAAGAAATTGTTTTAGTGCACATAAAAAAATTTGCAATTTTTTTCAAATTGTGTATTGGCCAAATATGTATTCAGTTATGAATTATTGTATTTTTTAGAGAACAATTAAAATTACTTTTGATAAATTGCTTGAAAATTGAACAAAGGGAAGAACAAAGAAAAATTAAAATCAATTTTTTAAAGTCTATGGAGGACGGTGGTCCAAAATTGATCAGATTTGAAATTTTATTTTTTCTTTTTGAAGGGCCATCTCATTTTTAATAGACGATTTTTAAGATCTATATTCGTGCATTAAAAAATATTTAAAAGGTTACAAACGTGGAGTTTTTAAAAATATTTTTTAGAGCAGAGCTTCAAACGTGGATTTTTGCAAATATTATTTGGGGATCTACAAACGTTAATTTTTAAAAATATTTTTTAAGGGTCTACAAACGTGGATTTTAGGGCTCTTAAAAATATTTTTTCGGGCTCCAAACGTGGATTCTTAAAATAAACGTTGATTTTTAAAAAATATTTTTTCCAAGGACTTTTCCCAAGGACTTGCTGAGCAATGAACGTGGATTTTTAAAAATATTTTTTCCAAGGACTTTCTGACCTATAAATGTGGATTTTTAAAAATATTTTTTCCAACGACTTGCTGGGCAATAAACGTGGATTTTTAAAAATATTTTTTCCAAGGACTTGCTGACCTATAAACGTGGATTTTTAAAAATATTTTTTCCAAGGACTTGCTGACCTATAAACGTGGATTTTTAAAAATATTTTTTCCAAGGACTTGCTGACCTATAAACGTGGATTTTTAAAAATATTTTTTCCAAGGACTTGCTGACCTATAAACGTGGATTTTTAAAAATATTTTTCCAAGGACTTGCTGACCTATAAACGTGGATTTTTAAAATATTTTTTCCAAGGACTTGCTGACCTATAAACGTGGATTTTTAAAAATATTTTTTCCAAGGACTTGCTGACCTATAAACGTGGATTTTTAAAAATATTTTTTCCAAGGACTTGCTGACCTATAAACGTGGATTTTTAAAAATATTTTTTCCAAGGACTTGCTGACCTATAAACGTGGATTTTTAAAAATATTTTTTCCAAGGACTTGCTGACCTATAAACGTGGATTTTTAAAAATATTTTTTCCAAGGACTTGCTGACCTATAAACGTGGATTTTTAAAAATATTTTTTCCAAGGACTTGCTGACCTATAAACGTGGATTTTTAAAAATATTTTTTCCAAGGACTTGCTGACCTATTTTTAAAAATATTTTTTCCAAGGACTTGCTGACCTATAAACGTGGATTTTTAAAAATATTTTTTCCAAGGACTTGCTGACCTATAAACGTGGATTTTTAAAAATATTTTTTCCAAGGACTTGCTGACCTATAAACGTGGATTTTTAAAAATATTTTTTCCAAGGACTTGCTGAGCAATAAACGTGGATTTTTAAAAATATTTTTTTCAAGGACTTCATGAGCAATAAACGTGGATTTTTAAAAATATTTTTTCCAAGGACTTCATGAGCAATAAACGTGGGTTTTTAAAAATATTTTTTCCAAGGACTTCATGAGCAATAAACGTGGATTTTTAAAAATATTTTTTCCAAGGACTTCATGAGCAATAAACGTGGATTTTTAAAAATATTTTTTCCAAGGACTTCATGAGCAATAAACGTGGATTTTTAAAAATATTTTTTCCAAGGACTTCATGAGCAATAAACGTGGATTTTTTAAATATCATTTTTTAAGGACTTTCTGATCTATAAACGTGGATTTTTTAAATATCATTTTTTAAGGACTTTCTGATCTATAAACGTGGATTTTTTAAATATTATTTTTTAAGGACTTTTTTATCTATAAACGTGTATTCTTTAAATATTATTTTTTAAGGACTTTCTGATCTATAAACGTGGATTTTTTAAATATCATTTTTTAAGGACTTTCTGATCTATAAACGTGGATTTTTTAAATATCATTTTTTAAGGACTTTCTGATCTATAAACGTGGATTTTTTAAATATTATTTTTTAAGGACTTTTTTATCTATAAACGTGTATTTTTTAAATATTATTTTTTAAGGACTTTCTGATCTATAAACGTGGATTTTTTAAATATCATTTTTTAAGGACTTTCTGATCTATAAACGTGGATTTTTTAAGATGTATTTTTAAAAATGTGTTGTTGGGATTACCAAGCTATAGTCGTGGATTTTTTATAATCGTTGATTGTTTAATTTTTTCCCTGTGAGCCACTGTGCCACTACACATTGAATATATTTACTGTTCAATGCATCAAATAATAATTGTACACCAAAAAAATGTTTAAATATGAGATCTACACCCTGAATACCCTTAGTACAGTTTTGGTCGTTAGGGTCCAAAACACGAAAAAAACGATACCCTCCACAAATTAGAAAAAAATAGAAAAGATGATTATAAATACTGCACTGACCCTTATACTGGGCGTAATTGGCGCACTACCACTTACCCTGGCTTATGTGCCCTATAGTTGGCAAGGTGAGTGCCCTCATAGAGACTAATTTGAAGACCCTCCGAAACTTAAGCAAAATTTCCCAATAATTTTAGATGCTTATAGGAGTAGCAATGGTTATCCCTACAACTATTATCCAGCAAGTTCGGCATCTGGATATACAGGTTGGTATGGACAAGCAATGACTCCGGCCAGGGGTTCCAGCGACATATATAATTCTGGCTATCTTAATGCCTGGTCTCCTTATAATACGGCTGGAACTTATGGGACAGCAGGATCTCTTAGTAATTATTATCCCTCGAGCTCAACAGGCAGTAAAAATATTGCCTATGGAAGTACATACCCCATGGGCTCATCCAGGGGCTATGGAACAACAGCGGGTAGCACATATCCCATGAGCTCCTCAGGCAGTACAAAAATTGCCTATGGAACGTCAGGTAGTACATACCCCATAAGTTCATCAAACACCGGAAGAATGGCCTATGGAACAACAGCAGGAACCTCCTACCCTATGGGCTCCTCAGGCAGTACTAAGATTGCCTATGGAACGTCAGGTAGCACATACCCCATGAGTTCTTCGAGTACCAACAGATACGTCACATCCGCCAACAGCAGATACGGTATGAGCTATCCAAGCTACACCAGATATGCTCCGAAGGCAACTTACAATGGATATGGCCCCTCGAGTAGTTTATCCTCCTACTACTACTATCCGTATAACTACTATGGAACCTATCCTCAAGGAACCAGTTCCAACTATTGGTATCCCAGTCAACCAAATTATGGCCTTAATGTTGTCAAGGATGTTGTTGGTGGTGCCGCCACAGCCGCAAGTGGTGTTGCCAATGGCCTCGACACAGCCACCTCCAGTGTTGTAAATAATGCCGCAGGTGTTGCCAATAATATGGCCAATGCTGCAGTGGGTTTACTGAGCGGTGACCCATCACTAGTTGCCAACGCTGCTGGAGGTGCCATAAATAATTTGGCCTCAACTGCTGTGGATATGGCGCATGGCATTGGAACTGCTGGGTCGGGAATTATAGAAGGATCTGTGGATGCAGCAAGTGCCTTATTGAATGGCTTTTTGGGTATTGGTGGAAAGACGGGTGGTAAAGTAACCACATCTGGTGGTTTAGGGGGCAAAGGCAGCGTTGGTGGCACCACTGGCATAGGTGGAGGAATTTCCATAGATGCAGGTGCTGGAGGCAAAATTTACGGCGGCAGCAAGGGTTCAAGTGGTATCGGATTGGGAGCAGGTGTAACGGGCAGTATCGATGCCGGAACAGAAGGTAGCATAAGTGGAACAGGAGGTTTAGGTCTTGGCCTAACTGGCAGTCTTGGCTCTAATGGAGATCTAAGTGCTGGAGAAAATGGTGCTGCTTCCCTCGGTGTAGGAGTTGTTGGAAAATTAAATGGAAATGCTGAGGCTGGAGCTGGCGGAAAACTCAGTGGTTCTACTGATCTAGGCGCAAATGCAGGTGCCTCACTTGGTGGTATTGAAATTATCGGAAATATTGGTGCCGGAACCGATGGGAAGATCAGCGGTTCTGAAAGTGTAGGTAGCAATCCTGGCCTGGAAGCAGGAATTGACCTGGGTGCTAATGGTGGCATAAGTGCTGGCGGAAATGGTGCTTCCTCTCTCGGTGGAACATTAAGTGGCTTAAGTGGTCTTGGAATTGTTGGAAGTATTGGTGCCGGAGGAAAACTCAGCGGAACTTCTCTGGGAGCAGGTATAAACTCAAACGTCAATGGAGGTATAGGAGCAGGTCTAAACGGTGGCCTTTCTCTGGGTGGAAGTGCCGGTGGAAAACTGAGTGGTTCTAGCGGCTTAGATCTTGGAGCCGGTGGAAAACTCAGTGGATCCGGAGACTGGGTCTTGGGTCTAGGTTCCAACGTTGACGAAAATGCCAATGGTGGTTCCAGTGGCTTAGATCTCGGTGCCGGTGGTAAACTCAGTACCAACATCGATGCAAATACCAATGGTGGGCTTAACGGTGGCATTTCTCTGGGAGGAAGTGCCGGAGGAAAACTTAGTGGTACCAGCGGCTTAGATCTTGGCGCCGGCGGTAAAATCAGTGGATCCGGAGGCTGGGACTTAGGTCTTGGTTCCAGTATCGATGCAAATGACAACAGTGGCCTTACCTTAGGAGGAGGTGCTGGAGGAAAACTTAGTGGCTCCAGCAGTTTGGATCTCGGTGCTGGCGGTAAAGTCAGTGGATCTGGAGGTTGGGGCTTAGGTCTTGGTTCCAACCTTGACGCAAATGCAAATGGTGCCCTTTCTCTGGAAGGAAGTGCTGGTGGTAAACTTAGTGCCGGAGGAAAACTTAGTGGTTCCAGCGGCTTAGATCTCGGCGTCGGCGGTAAGCTCAGTGGTGCCGGTGGTAAACTCAGTGGATCTGGAGACTGGGGCTTAGGACTTGGTTCCAACCTCGATGCAAATGCAAATGGTGGTATGAACGGAGGCCTCTCTCTGGGAGGGAGTGCTGGTGGAAAACTTAGTGGTTCCAGCAGTTTGGATCTCGGTGCTGGTGATAAACTCAGTGGATCCGGAGGTTGGGGCTTAGGTCTCGGTTCTAATGGTGCCCTTTCTCTGGGAGGAAGTGCCGGAGGAAAACTTAGTGGTTCCGGAGGCTGGGACTTAGGTCTTGGTTCCAACGTTGACGCAAATGCCAATGCAGGCCTTTCTCTGGGAGGAAGTGCTGGTGGAAAACTTAGTGGTTCCAGCGGTTTGGATCTCGGTGCTGGCGGTAAACTCAGTGGATCCGGAGGTTGGGGCCTAGGTCTTGGTGGCGGCATTGACGCAAATACCAACAGTGGCCTTTCTGTGGGAGGAAGTGCCGGAGGAAAACTTAGTGGTTCCAACGGTTTGGATCTCGGTGCTGGTGGTAAACTCAGTGGATCCGGAGGTTGGGGCCTAGGTCTTGGTGGCGGCATTGACGCAAATACCAACAGTGGCCTTTCTGTGGGAGGAAGTGCCGGAGGAAAACTTAGTGGTTCCAACGGTTTGAATCTCGGTGCTGGTGGTAAACTTAGTGGATCCGGAGGTTGGAGCTTAGGTCTTGGTGGTAGCATTGACGCAAATACCAACAGTGGCCTTTCTCTGGGAGGAAGTGCCGGAGGAAAACTTAGTGGTTCCAGCGGCTTAGATCTCGGCATCGGCGGTAAGCTCAGTGGATCCGGAGGCTGGGGCTTAGGTCTTGGTTCCAACGTTGACGCAAATGCCAATGGTGGCCTTTCTCTTGGAGGAAGTGCTGGTGGAAAACTTAGTGGTTCCAGCTGGGGCTTAGGTCTCGGTGGAAGCATCGACGCAAACAGCGCCCTGGGGGCAAATATTGATGGTGTTGCTGGGGGAAATCTAGGCACCTCGGGCTCTCTGAACCTTGGCAGCGGAATCAATGCAAATGCTGCCGCTGGACTTGATGTGAATACAGGAGCCTCGAACGGCCTGAATATAAAGGGCAACTCTGGTGGTGGCCTCCTAGGTGGTATCTTCAATTTGGCGGGGAATATTGTTGGTGGTGTTGCCCAGACAGCTGGAAATATCGCCGGTGGCGTTGCCCAGACGGCTGGCAAGATTGTTGGTAATGCTGCCAATGCTGCGGGCGATGTTGTTGGAGGTGTCGCCAATGTTGCTGGAAATATCGTTGGCAATGTTGCCAATGCCGCCGGAAATGTTGCTGGGAATGCTGCCAATGTCGCTGGAAATGTTGTTGGTCTTTCTCTGGGAGGAAGTGCTGGTGGAAAACTTAGTGGTTCCAGTGGCTTAGATCTTGGCGCCGGCGGTAAACTCAGTGGATCCGCAGGCTGGGGCCTAGGTCTAGGTGGAGCCATCGATGCAAATGGTGGTCTAAACGGAGGCCTCTCTATGGGAGGAAGTGCCGGTGGAAAACTTAGTGGTTCTGGCGGTTTGGATCTCGGTGCTGGCGGTAAACTCAGTGGATCCGGAGCTTGGGGCTTAGGCCTTGGTTCCAACGTTGATGCTAATGCCAATGGTGGCCTTAATGGTGGCCTTTCTCTGGGAGGAAGTGCTGGTGGAAAACTTAGTGGTTCCAGCGGTTTGGATCTCGGTGCTGGCGGTAAACTCAGTGGATCCGGAGGTTGGGGCTTAGGTCTTGTTTCCAACGTTGACGCAAATGCCAATGGTGGCCTTTCTCTGGGAGGAAGTGCTGGTGGAAAACTAAGTGGTTCCAGTGGCTTAGATCTCGACGCCGGTGGTAAACTCAGTGGATCTGGAAGTTGGGGCTTAGGTCTTGGTTCCAACATCGATGCAAGTGCCAACAGTGACCTTTCTCTGGGAGGAAGTGCCGGAGGAAAACTTAGTGGTTCTGGTGGTTTGGATTTCGGAGCAAATGCAGGTGCCTCGAGCGGTCAAAATGTAAAGGGCAACTCTGGTGGTGGCCTCCTAGGTGGTATCTTCAATTTGGCGGGGAATGTTGTTGGTGGTGTTGCCAAGACAGCTGGAAATATCGCCGGTGGTGTTGCCCAGACGGCTGGCAGCATTGTTGGTAATGCTGCCAATGCTGCTGGCGATGTTGTTGGAGTTGTCGCCAATGCTGCTGGCGATGTTGTTGGAGGTGTCTCCAATGCCGCCGGAAATGTTGCTGGGAATGCTGCCAATGTTGCCGGAAATGTTGTTGGCATTGCTGCCCAGAACACTGGTAATATCCTGGGAAATTCATTCAGTGGCAGAACTACAAGCGGCAATCGTGGTTTGCTGGGTGGCCTGTTGGGCTAAGAAAGAAGGGGCAATTTTAAATTCCTGAAAGATGTAAAGCTAAAACAGAAGTTAATGAACGATAAATATTAAATATTATTTTTAAACGAATAAACGAAATATAAATGCCAGTTTATATATGCTTGTACCTCATGTGGATAACCGGAATGGGTAATCAGGTCCAGGATGCTTCTGAATATCCGAAATGTCAGGTAATAGGCAATTGGTCAAACATGCCTTAAATTGGGTGCCAATAAGATAGTAACAATGCAAATTATATTGGAAGTCTAAAAAATCGGTTTTCTTTGGGAGGAAGTGCTGTAGTAAGGCTACGAGGCTCTAGTAGCTTTGTCTATTGGAGGTAGGTTTGTAATAAAGAGTGAATTAGGAAATTTGTGCAATTGGTGCACGAAAAGTACTAAATAGTAATATATTTGGTACAATTTGGTGTTAGGGTTGCTGTTCGTATATAGCCTGGACATATGGGGGTGGTTTCGGAAAGTACAGAGGTGTACTATATTTGATATTCGGCGAAAGGATAGAGATAAAATTCTGAAATTTAATATTTAAATTACTTATGGTATCTGTGTGTGAGATTTGAAGGTGGTTTGGAAATGCGTTTTATATTTGTACCAAAAGTACTTAGTTGGGTATTGGGTGAAGGGATAGAGATGAAATCCTGAAATTTGATATCTAAATCTCTTTTGATATCTGGGTTTGAGATATGGAAGTTGTATTGGAAATGTATACAATATTCGTTCGAAAAGTACTAAATTGAACTAAATTTGCTATTGGGTGAAGGAAAAGAGTTGAAACCTTGAAGTTTGATATAGCGATAACAGTCGGTGACTAGGCGTGAGACGTGGAACGGTTTTACAAATGAGTACTAAAATTATACGAAAAGTACTAAGTGATTCTAAATTTGGTATTGAATGGAGTTGAAATCCCGAAATTTAATATTGGGGTCTCTGTTGGTATTGCAGACTAAAATACGTGGAATATTTTGGGCGACAAGCTTAAACCTCAAGTGAATCAACGAGGGGGTCTTTTTGGTACATTTCTTAAATATGGTTAAAAACATACTTTAAATGGGGTCATATCAAGTGAAAATATTCTACGTACATATTTTTCATAAAATTCTACTGTAGGTCCTAGAAGACGTCAAGAGTCTAAATCTTACCTAAATGCCTGGAATTTATAAAAAAATCTCCAACAAGGCATAATTTTAATTTTTATAATAGAAAGTCGACCCCAAAGAAAACTACATCCATTCTGGGGGGTATTCGAAGACGTGGACCTGCACAGAAAACTTTCAGTCTTTGGATGTAGTATCCATTACGAACTTCAAATACCAAATTTGAAACGATTCCGGGGAATAATGTCACTAAAATCATCAAAAACCCGAATATCGGGAGGTACTGTTATATGGGGGATATACCAAAACGTGAAGCTATATGGCCCATTTTCTATAACAAAAGTCCTGCCGACATAATATATATTTGAGTAAAATTTTATCAATCTACTTCATTTCGTTCGGAAGCTAGAGTGATTTCCACAGGCGGACGGACATCCCTAAATCGACATAGAATTTTATGCTGATCAAGAATATATATATTTTATGGGGTTTAATATGTATATTTCGTGGTGTTACAAATCGAATGACAAATTTAATATACCTTCCATAATATGGTGGAGGGTATTAAAAAAACGAAAATAAACCCTAATTTTTATACCCTCTGCCATATGGCTACCGAGGGTATATATCATCATACGACCAAAACGTGCCTCATCGAAATAACGTTGGGGTCGATTTAGTCATATCCGTACGTCTGGATGGCTGGTGCGCATGCTATTTGGAGTATCCGATTTGGTCCAAACTTGGTACATCATAATAACATTATCAAGATTAGATCGAGTTCGGAAATGGGCAGTATTAGTCCACTCCCCCAACAAAGGCCGAAATTTAAAAACAAAAATATTTTGCTTCACAGAAAGAGAATGAAAAATGCGATTTTGCTTCAACCTTGCATATCCTAATATTTTCGTCAGTTCTAGGACAGGTGTGAAAATGGACAATATCGGTCCATTCCATCAAGAACTTATCCTACAAAGGGTCAAAATTTTGAATGTCTTCAAATTACACTCATCACAATATTTTTATTAACCCGAGGTCTGGTCTGAAGATGGAATATATCGGTCCACTTCTTCTGGTACCTTCCCTACAAAGGGATCAACATTTTTAATATCCATGAAGCTCATAAAACGCGAAACTAACATCCAATTCCATTCAGACTTGGCAAATATCAATATTTATACCCTCAGCCATATGGCTACATACCCTCCGTACAATTTGATACGGTCAAAACATGCCTAGTCGAAATAACGGTTTTAGACCCTAGGTCTCTTTGGACCAAATCCGTTTCAGAACATTTTATTATTTTTGTCAAACTTAGATCTAGTTCGGAGATGGGCAATATCGGTCCACTCCTTTTGGTACCTCCCCCCAAAAGGTAGAAATTTTCAAAAAATATATTCTTATATATTTATAGAGAGAGAAAGGATAATCCGATTTTGCTCCAACTTTGCATATCCTAATATTTGCGCCAGTTCTAGGGTAGGTGTGAAAATGGACAATATCGGTCCAATCCATCAAGTACCTACAAATGGTCAAAATTTTGAATAATCACAACTCTCATAAAATGTGATGTAAGAGTCCGATTGTCTTCAAATTTCACACATCCCGATTTTTATATTAACCCATGATCAGGTGTTAAGATTGGCAAAATCGGTCCACTCCTTCTGGTACCTCCCCCACAAATGGTCGTAATTTGCCAAAAAAGAAATGTTTTCGATCTTTCATAGAGATGGTAGACAACGGAGCATTCCTTCTGGTACCGCCCCACAAAGGGTCTAGTTTTTGAATAACCAAAATGATTATAATATTCGAAATAAGCATCCGGTTCTCTTCAAATTTCACACATCCCATTATTTCTACTAACACAAGATCTGTTGGATATATTGGCGCACTGCTTCTGGTACCTCCCCCACAAAGCGATCAAAATTTCGAATATCCGTGATGTTGTGTTGTGTCTGGAGTATTTTGGAAAGCAAGGATGGCACTAAAAAATACCAAAGTGTCGATCACCTCAAGCAAGCGCTTCGCCGGGAATGGGCCAAAATATCGCAGAGCAACATTCATTGGCCGTTTGAAGGCCAACATTCGTGCCAAAGTTGACCAATTCGAACAAATCTAAATTTATTCTAAAATTTGATGCTATTTCCGACATTTTGCTTTCTTTCAATAAAATTTGAAAAAATGTAAAAATTATGGCGTTTGACCTCGTTGCGGTTTTTTTATCTCACCCTGTATAGTAAAAATTGCATATTTTCAGATTATTAGTATGATATCGTGTTTCTTAAACAACCTAAATTTGACGTACCTCAAAAATTATAAGGACAATGACCTTGCATTTTTTATTCTAAACTTAATAAATTTGTCCTCCAAATATTTGAAATTCCGCCTCAAAATGCATCTATTGTTTAAATATTAATTTAACAAATATTTGTTATACAAATTATCTACAATGTAGCCTTCAAAATTGGAATTTAATTAGCAAATTTCTAATTGCTACAAATCAATTAATTTTCAAGAGATAACATATTAATTTGAGATCTATTACTTCGTTGTGAAGAAATTGTCGAAAGAAAAAAACAACATACTATTAAATAAATACGAATTTGCGTCATAACACGGAACGATGCGCGAAATATGTTTTGTGAAACGTAAGTAAACAATTTGTATATATATTTACCCTACACATCGATATGATCTAATGTGTGGTGTTTGTACACGTGTGTGTATTGGTTACCTTAAAAAGGGTTGTGATATTGAAAATCTACAAGTCATCGTTTATATTTTATTAGAAATTTTTTAATTGTTTGTGAGTAGATGAGTTTAGAGTAGAGGTACTCATAAGTAGGAGCTCTAGCTAGAATACTTGCCTTTAGACGACCTGTATAGCTAAACCTGAACATCCCCATAGTGAGTTGCTGAAGGCCCAGGAATTTCAATCCCCCTGCATAGGTCTACATATCGGTTGCCGAACCTACATTCAGCGAGCTGCTGAAATCGACCGAGTCCCTATCCATCTGCGAAGGCCTAGATATCGGGTGGTGAACATATCCTCATTGGGGTGCCGAACCCGAACGAATTACGGTCCATCTGCCTAAACATCGGCTATCGAACATACAAGACCCGATCCATATGCGCAGGTATCGACTTTGGGCACCGAATATATCCACCGTGAACTGTCGAACCCGAACCAATTCCAATACATCTGCCTAGACATCGGCTGTCAAATTAATTCAGTGAGCCGATGAACTCGAATAAGCACCGATCAATCTCCGAAAGCCTAGACATCCCTTTCTGAGCATATCCACAGCGAGTTGCCAAAACCCAACGAATCTCAATCCGTCCACGAAGACCTCAAAAACTGCTACCGAGTATCTCTAACGTGAAGTGCTAACGATTATACCGCAAGTCCCCAACCCGCCTCCGAAGACCTGAAAATCAATAGGCCAACCACCTATATTGCAAGGTACAATTAACTCGAAATCGTCAACGTCCCGAATGTCGACTCCACTAAGAGCATCAACCCCGTGTGTCCTGATACCATATATTTTCCAACTCCTCTCTGATATACGTCTAATATAAATATCACAACGTGCCATATTTTGACTATATCACTTGATAAGATATATCTGATAATTTTTGGAGAATTTTGAAGTATGCGCGAGGTGCCAGCTATAGTGGACCAAAGTATTCCACCTCATCTAATACCAATAAAAATATCGGATCCTGCAGAATATAGGGAAGGAGGTATCAGAGGTAGTGAGCAGAAAAAATCATTCACATCAGATTTCTTGCCAGGTTTCAATGACATCCCTGACTTGTTTCGCAAGTTATACGAGATTTAAGTATTTAAAATTATGATCGTTTGTTGGGGGAGGTACCACAAGGGGTAGGCTGATATCTATCATCATCATCTTCA